CTTATCTGTTCTGGTTTCTCAGAGCTATGAGAATTACCCCCACAAATTACTCACCCTTCTCTCTCCAAGTCCTAGGCAGCCATGGACACAGCCAACCAGCAGAAGAGAGCAGGTTTCACTCTGTCCTTGCTGTGAAAGTGCCGTTTCCCCTGTCCTCCTGTGGTCCAGGGCTGTTGGCCCCAGTGCTGCCCGGCTGATGCCTGCTCTGTTGGCCGCAGAGTAACAACAGGCCCAGGAGTTTGAAGGATTGCTGATTGCCTCTTCTTGTTTGAGTTGAGTGAAGGCCAGTTGCTCACTGAGCTGTAGCCCCGGCAAAGCCAAGTCCTGCTTTGGTAGCCCAGGCTGATCCAGTTCCTCCTTGTGGACACCTGCCCATGGATCAACACTGATGCTTCCACCTAGGCCTCACAGGCACTTGAAAGCTCCGCAGCCTCGGTGTACTCCTGGTCATTGCTGGAGGAGCATTGCTTCCTCAGGACACACTTACATGGCTTACACCACTTCCCTGCATGCTGCTGCTTGTGTTTTCTGCTACTGTAACCTGACTTGTGCCCCCCTTCCCCGTGGAACAGCCTGTGGTAGGTGTGCTCACCAGGGCCGGACGGGGAGCTCTGCTCCTCAGGATGGTGCTGAGCCGGTCCTCACGCTCCCGGCACTGTGCACCTTTGGGAAATGCGCATGCAGTCACAGCCTCTCAGTTAGCAGGGGCACGGCCATATCTGTACGTTTGTTTAGCTGGACGGCATCTGTGGAAATAGTTTGGCTTTGTGGTCCCTCCCCTGTCAGTAACAGCTCTGGCAGCTGCCCTGAGCTCTCCATCACGCGTTCCACAAGCTCTGGTGTGCTCCGTGGCCACCATGGCCTCTCTCCAGAGGGTTGCAGCCCAGTACCTGCTTTCCTTCTCCCTTTGTGTTTCCATGGTGTTCCCTCCGGCGGACAGCCGGGCAGGAGCGGTGCTGGCTGGGCACGAGCCCCAGATGACGGCCGTCTGCACAGGCAGGCAGGGGGCCACTGCCCCAGGCATCTGCTGAAAGAGCCGAAATGAAGTGACTTCCCCCTCAGAGCCAGGTTTGGGGTTCTGCTGGAGGGCAAAGGCCTACTGTCGCCACCAGGGTGGGCGGCATGTGGTGCTGGGCTGGCCACAAGCCCTGCGCCCCGGCTGCCAGCCTCCAGCGCACCAGAGGTGCTGCGAGCTCGAGAAGCACCTGGGCAGAGCCGCCGTTCCCAAGACGCGCAGGGACAGGCAGAGGGCCGTGATGGAGAGTGGGATTTGGGAACTGTGAGGAGCTGCGGAGCTGGCAGGACAGGCTGTGCCAGGCCCCACGCTGGAGCATGGGAGGGCTTCGTCCCCCTGGCCCTGGGCCAGCTGTGCAAGGGCCCAAACCGCCCCCCGGAGCAGCAGCAGCCAGAGCTGGAAATCACGGTGCTGGGCCGGGTGTCCTGGGTGGGCTCTCTGCCCCCGGGGGGCCTCTGTCCCCCTGCCCACACAGGAGGTTTTAGCAGCTGTGGGTGGGTACAGGTGTGGGTGTTGCTGTTGGTGTGGGTGTGTGTTGGTGTGGGTGGGACAGCCAGGGTTCACCTGCGCTAGTGGGAGGGAAGGAACGGCGGCAGCGTCTGCCTGTCCCCAGCCTGCAGGACAGACTCACCCGAAGAATGGTTTGAAACAGTTGGAAGTGTTCTTGTTCGCAATTAATGTGGCTTTATTATTAATGTGTTGGGCTCCTCTCTTGACAGCGGTTAGTTACAGAGTGTTTCACATGGAAATAAGCAAAAGGACAGAACTCAAGGAACTAAATTTAAATAGAAACGTGATGCTGAAGAAAAGAATCAGGGCTCTGTTCTTAAAACATTTAGCATAGAAGAAGCTAGGAGCACAAGTTGCCATTTCAATACAGTTAAGACGTTCACTTTTTTAATTATAGGTTTAAAATAGTATTTTGTACCTATTACATACAAGAAGATTACGCGTTGTTGCCCACATGCAGAAACAAGCAAAAGCAGAGTTTAATTGTTTCTCTCTATAGTATTGTATTACCTCTGGCTCTGGATGGGTTCTGCTGGCTCCTGCAGGCTGAGCAGGGTCAGACGCTTTACAAATTGGCATTTTTACAAGTCTTTTTTCCCATAGTTCTATAAGGCGGGGGGGGGAAGACAGAGGGCGGGAGAGAAGCTGAAGGCAGAACAGACTGCCACAGAAGACTAAAAAAAGTGTGGAGCCTTGAGGAGAGGGATGCGAACTGGTGTAGGATAAAGCTGTCCAGGCAGCACAGCTGCGGAGCGCAGCATGCGGCAGGACGGTGTTTGTATGGGAACACACGCCAATGACCGCACTGCTGCCCGGAGGACACAGGCACCTTGCAAAGCCTCACTACTACTGCTGCTTAGTCAGAATTGCTTCAAGTTTAAAATTGAGAAAACATTCATGTGTGGGTCTATCTAAAGTTAGTGCATTAGCTTTTACACCAAGCCACGCGTCGGGATCCCGGGAGCCAGTCAGCGAGGGTCTCTTTGCTCCTCTTGCCTGGCGTCCTGCGCCCGCACCGGCCGGTCCCACAGGCAGGCGAGCCAGGACCTCCCCACGCACCGAGGCAAACGGTGTCGGGGCAGCAGGAGCACCTGCGTTACTGCCTGCAGTTGCTTGCCATAACCAACATTCATGGACGCTGACCCCATCAGGTTACAGAGAATGACATTTATTCTTCTGGCAGACACACCATGATGCCATGGTTAAAATGAATACAGCACAGGGCAGGGATTTGCTAAATCCCTGAGTAAGCTCACACGCTCCTAACAAGGGCTGTGTCAAAAGGGCCGGCTGCTCCTCGGGAGCGTCTGCTGGCATCAGGCTTTGTCCTGCAGCTGCTGGGGTTTAGACACAGCCCTGCAGGCTGCAAGCACAGACTCCTTTTGCTGCCAGCAAGTTCTCTATGGTCTTTTTATGTTGTTTTTGTTGTTTAAATTGCAGCATCTAAGTATTTGCACTGAGAAACCCCTAAACTGACACTAAGAGCACATGGTGTCATGTTAACATGTATAAATTAAAATATTAAATCCACACAAAATGCAGCTTAATGTCAAAAAATAAATATATAAATTAAACGCAAAATAAACCATTTCCCTAGAAGCTCCATTTTAGTCCCAGGAGCAGGTTTCTAAGCAGCATTTTCTTTATGTATGCTGCCAGAAAACTAGCACTGAGTGTGAAGTGTCCCAGGCAAGCGCGATGAAGGGTCCCAGGACGCTCGTTAGGAAGTCAGACCTTGGCTCAGGGCCGAGCACAGCAGGTGACACAGCAGATGGAAATACCTTTGAGTCCTGTGTCAAGCCTTGCAGCATCGCTTTCTCTCTCATCTCTCCTTCCCCAGAGCACACCCCACTGCCACTCTCTTTGTCTTACAGAACGATAAAAGCCATCTTTGTGCTGAGACCCTCTTGCAGTGCTCTCAGGTGTGGCACAGGCTCAGCGGTGCTGCAGGCTGAGGGCACCCAAGCACCAAGGCTCCTGGAGCTGCTCTCCCTGCAGGGTCTGGGAGGCTGCCATGGCTTTGCCTGCCACGGGGGCTCTGGGTGACCACTCAGCAGTAATGATGCACTCACGGCACACAACTACACTTCAGCACGGAAGCGAGGACACACACCACAGTAGCTGTGGTAGCGATGGGCTGCATGGTGTGCACAGCACCTCATCTGCGCTGGCAACAAGGGTCTGCACGTCCCTGCTGCAGGTGTGGAGGAACTAAGAGCAACTACACTTCCTAAGCTACTTTCCCCAAGTGTTTTTGGAAGGGGGTTCTCTTTCCTCACACCACAGGTTCTATTCCCCGCATCCTGGACGCTTCAGGGGAAAACAAAAAGCTTGAACGCAGCGAAGGGGCGCGGACCGCCGGCACACAGGCATCGATGGAACTGCTGCTGTGAGCAGAGCTGGCACACAGCAGCTCCACTGCCCGCCCGCCTCTCTCAGTACGGCATGCGGGTTCCTCAGCTGCCTCACCACAATCCTCAAGAAAGCCTTTGGTTTACAAGGACAGGGAGGTTTCTCGTACATCTCAGGCCAAGAGTGGCCAGGGTTGTTTCAGCCCTTCTGCTCTAAGGGGGCTGTAGTTGTGCGTTTGGACACTCTTTTTGTGTGACTGTTGAGGCAACAGCCCCTCTGTGCCTCCCACTGTCACACTGCTGATGTGCGGGAGTAAGTTGGCCACTGTGTGTGCAAAGCTCATGTTAGCAGGTTAGGAATGTGCTCTTTGTAGCAAAGAACACCAAACAGGCTGAGCCCTCCCCTCCCACCACCACCCCTAAACAAGCGTGTCCTTCACTCCAGGTCCTTGAGCGCAGTGGGCAGGTACTGCAGGATGCCACAACGAAACGCTTGGGACAGAGACCTGCAGAGTTGGTGGGTGGTCCACCGTTGGGTGGTCCTGCCTAGTTGGAGTATGGGTCCCCTTGCTCACAACACCATCTCTATGTTCAGGATGGGAGATGGAAGAAAGACCTTCGCTGTTGCGTACAGTTGGAGGGTTTCACCTTCCCTCATCTTCTAGGTGCGTTTTCTTTGCAAATTAGTTTTCTTCTCTGCCTCCCCCCGCCCCCCCATGCACTGTCTACATGCAGCAGCAGCACTTCAGCCCTCGCCAGAAAGACGGGGTTTGTGGTGCTACAAGTTAAATGGCAAGGCAGCCAGGAAGAGAGTAGAACAAGCTCTCACAGCAGCAAGGCAGCCAAGATAGTCTACAGAAACTGTACAGGCAGCAGGATAAAGCAGGGAAAGTGAAAGTGCCCCTGGCCTGCAACTGCTCTTGCACAAACTCTTAGCTCAGTCCAGAATATTACAGAGCCCTGCACTTCTTTCTCATGGCATCCAGTGCTGAGCTAGATGGATACCCGATTGCCTGACAAATGGGAACCATGTAGAGGACTAAACCAGAGAAGAACTGGACTGTGATTAGATGGTGTCTCTGATGTTGCATCGGTGATTGGAGAGTCAATGGATGAACGCAAAGTGTGGGAGACTTAGAATTCGATCTTACAGGCCGGAAAAGATTCATCCTGCATCACAACAGTGCTGCTGCTTGCCAGTACCATGATGTTTAGCTCCTGCTGTTTCTCATGGGTCTGTTGGTACCATTCTCGTGTCACCTCAGTATCATGTGTTGGGATCAATGTCACCTGGGAAAAGAAAGCAGCAGGGATGATTGTCTGAGAACAACTGCAGTGACAAACAATGCCCATAGGAGCCGAGGCTAAAATTTCCCATTAATTTTGGAACACGGTACCCTTGGTACTGCTTGTTCTATTTAATGCCTTTCAGATGTCAGGTTCTGTAAGGCAGAGCTGGTGCTTTATTTTATGCAGTACCAGCACAACTGCGCTCAGAGCTGGCTGCAAACTGGCAGTACAAACACCACAATGATGAAAACGGCTGTAGCGCAGGGGAGAGCATCCCTTTGTGGAGCTCCGGAAACGGCCTTAGAAAGATCCCTCAGTGTGAAAAGGAACAATGAGAGTGTCACTGTTAATGGCCTGATATTAGACTTTATGTGCCTGTTGACCCGATGTGCAACTCAGGGACCTTGAAATCTGAGGCTGCTTCATCTGAAAGATCATACACGCTTTCTTGCACCTGTCTTCAGAAAAAGTGCCCACCCAGGATGTTCTGCAAACCCAACTAGGCGAGAACTATGTGTAAGACCGCTCTGGTTCAAAAGCACTAATAAAAAGTTGCTGTCAGAAAGATCTTCAGCAAGCAAGGCTAGTGACAAATGCCCCTGGGTGTGGGACACTGTGAGGAACATTCAGACTGTGATGGTGGTTGTTTTCGCTTGAGGATAGGCTCGTCCTGCAACAGGTAAGGATGAGCGTATAATCTCTAAAAGCTTCCTCCCATCAGAAGGATGTGGGAAGGAGGACATATCTGCTTCCACTCACACCATTTTGCAGGTGTCCTCCTCCTCATGGGTACAAACAGTTACTCTTCTGAGACTGCAGAGCAGGACATGCCCAGTACCATTTGCTTCCTCTTAGCGTATTCCCTCTGGTTGTGTTTCTGACACACACCTTCTCCCCAGCACTTGTGACACAAGGACCATCACACACGCTCCTCAGTATTTCCATGACCTACCTGCAGGTTCTCCCCCCACTGAGACTTCCCTTCCAGGAGCGCATCCAACACTGCACGGCTGGGTTCTCCATTGGCTGCATCATTCCCACTCACAACATAATATGATGCTCGAACCCGCTTGAAGAACTCCGGGTCTGTGTTCTTTCCACTGCAGTGGTTGGGGATGTATGCCAAGTCTACATAGACAGGTGGACCCATGGGCACGGGCAAGCTGCTCTTAGGACTGTTGGAAGCTTTGGAATAAAGAAAACAAAGGCCATCAAAACCCTTTTGGAAAGGACAAACAATCAAATTAGTACTGAAGGACTTGAATGCCAGAAAGGTTTTTCCCTGCAGCTGCAACAACAGGTTAAGATTTATCCAGGCTCTGCTGCTTGGAGGTGACCTTGGTGAACTTCTGGGCCAGTGCTGTCACAGCTCTTGGAAAGGAAAGGGGGTTCTGCTGTTCTTTGGGGAGGGACTGGAAGGCTTTAGGCTCAGAAACCTTTCCTGGAGAAAGGAATAAAAAAATCTCCATTTTTAGATTTTGTGGCATTGTCATCCCAATCAATATTTAGTCCTAATTTCTGTTGTTTAATTACCTCCATTTGCTAAAGAAACCTCTTCTGATGGCCTCTATAAGCCTCCTCAGGTATTACAGTAGTCTTTCTGGAAGCTCCATCCTGGCTTTCTGCCATCCCTGTGAGTTGCTGCTATTCCAAAGACTCTATTACTCTTTCCTATCAACCTTTTGTACCTCTTTTCTTCATTTGCTGCTGCTTACATTCCTGCGATGAGAGATGGTCAAACAAGAGCTGTTGTATTCAGCAACATAAATGTGTATATATATATACACACAGCCCATAGAAGCACTCTCTTTTCTCTCCCTCCTGCTCTCTGTGGAATCACAGAGGCTTCTGTCCTCTTTTTCCTTATGTATACTATCTCTGGGAATTCTCTTCTGTGAGCAAAAAGCCACTAACTACTAGCACGGAGCACTCATGCTGCCCAGCTGCTACACAAACAAAATACCCCTGTCCAGCCCTCATCCCAGGTTTGATTTGGGCAACTCACAGCACTGCTCCATGCACAACCTCTGCTTCCCACACCGTTGTCTCAACCCTCCCTTCAGACGGGCATGTCCAGGCACTGCATCTTGCCAGTCCTTTCTGTGCAGCGCCTCTAAGAGGTGACCGTTCTGTGCAGACCCTCCGCTGACACCCTGTGCAGGCTCTCTCCTGGCTGTACCCGATTTGTTCGTCAGCTGCTCGCCGACAGCAGCTGCCCCGGCCCCTCTTCAGCCCACACTCCTTTGCAGAGCCCTCCCTGGCCCAGCACCGGCACCACCTCACTGCTCCGTCCGCTGCTCTCCCCTCACTCCCCACGACACCGAGCAGACCCTTCAGCAGCTGCTTGGCCGTCCCTCGCCCCCGCTGTCAGTGACACCACCTCGGGGGGACACTGGTTTGCCTCACCCGAGCCATACTGGCAGCACACACACGCACACACACAGTGGCTGTTTTCAGGTCTTGCCCTACAGCCGCGCTCTCCACTGCAAACCTTCCCCCACCTCTCCTACTACACCCTCTGCCACCCGCCTGCTGAGACCACAGCACATCAGTGCTGGTCCAGTTTTCTCCCTTCTGCTTGGCACTACCCACCTGCTGGCCCTTGTCTTACACTCGGCATCAGCAACACGCAGCAAAGCGTTAGTGTTTGCGCTGTGTCTGTAAAGCGCCTGGCACCACAGGCTCAGCACCGACACGGCAATGATGCAATACTGATACCATCTGGGGGATACCAGCAGAGCACTGGTCTGTGTGTGAACACGTAGCAAGAGGCCGTGGGCTGCACACACGTGAGGCCGAGTTCCTCGTTCACACCTTAATTTAGGAAAAAGAGAAGACCTTAGTTTCCCGCAGACTGCCTGTTCAGTGCTGTCAGATGCGGGAGCTGCTCCCATTCCATCTCTGCTTAACAATTCAGAGGTAAGGACGTACCTGCCCACAGCGACATCCTGTTACTCCAAACGACAGCTTTAGCTCAGTCCCTTGCAATGCACTCACCCCGCTCACAGCTGAGAAGTTGCCACCTCTTTTTAAAACACACATGTATTTTGTCCTGCAATTGCTGGCACTTCTTTGACAGCACCCACCTCTAAATACCTCCTGCCCCTCCACAGACGTAGCTCCTGGGTGGCACTGAATCTTGGCCTATAAAGGTCTGAATGGGGTCTCCCAGGTCTGTCTCTCTTCAGAGGTGGTTGCATTTGGCTCTACAGAGGTTGAGAACTTTCCTCAAGGCTTTGATCTTTTAAAGTGATTTGTGTGACAACCTCTCTACCTTATCACTGCTTATAACTTTTTATGCCTGGCTGGGAAGCCCTGTTCTCTGATCTGCTACATTTAACCCAGTGCTGCTTCTCCGCATTGGACCTAAAGAGAAAATGCATGCTTAAGGAAGAATTTCTTACCGGGGTTTGTTTTTATGCCATTAACAAGGCTCTTGCCAGGGTTGCTGTGACTACTCCGGGATAACTCATCTTCTGTGTGAGGAGGCTGCACCAACGCACTACGTGGTTTGGGCTTCTCTCCGCCATCTCTTTCTTTTTTGGCAGTGACAGATTTTGGAGATTTGTCCGATGGCTGTTTCACAGGAGTGGGTGATCGTTTCCCTTTCACATCTAATTTCCGGGCAGGCGAGGAAGATTTGGGTTTGCTCAAAGGCTTCCTCACACCTTTGTTCTTTTCTTTTATGTCTTTCTTGGAAATTTTATCAGTTCTGCTCATGCTTTGCTCATTTACCAACACATCAGGGTCTACCATGCAGACATCAGGGTGAGGAGGGTGGGGATGAGGATCTACCATTGGAACAGGCTGAGGATCATGGATGGACCTAGAACTGGCATGATGAGCATTCCCAACAGCTTTGTCCACTGGGAGGAAATCGGCATCTTCATCTGAGTCCATGTTGGCATCTGCTGTGATGGACGGACATTCTTCTGTCTCAGGTGGGACATCCGAGTCTGACTGGGAGGTTCCAGAATCACTCACTGATGTTGGAGGGGTTTCCTCCACTGTAGCACTTTGCATGGGACTACTACCAGTGTGGGGTGGTCTTCCTTGCACTGAAGGATGACCATCCTCCTGTGAGAGGTCACTATCTTCAGAAAGCTCATGAGGGCTTGGGTTGATGAATGAGGGAGAGAGCTCTCCCTTCCTGTGCTTGTATTCACATGAGGAAGATTTCTGTCCACAACTGAAACTGCCTCCTAAATGTGGCTCCATCTCATGGGAAGCATCTCCATGGTCCTCTGTTTTTCCATGCCTCTGCACATCTGGGAAAAAGGGCTGGAAACTGTGTTCAGGGGACATCAGAGAGGAAGGACGGCTCTGCCTCTCTGTGTCCTTTTTGCCTGCGCATGGAGAAAAACTGCTGTCAGAATCAGGACATGTTTTTTCATCTTTTGCCTCTGCTGCATGGTGTGTACTTTGGAAAGCTTGCAGACTGGTGCTCACCTCTGTTGGACCATTGGCTGTGGTTTCATCTTCATGCTGATGATGAGGAAATGATGCCAACACATCAGGGAGACAGGTCAGTGTCATCAGCTGTTCTGCAAATGGTGCCTTCTGCTCTGGACTGCTTACACAGGGTTGTTGCTGTTTGTCTGCAGAGAATGGCGTGGGCTGTGAACTCTGGCACTCCTTTCTGCATGGCAAAATGCTGCCACCCATGCCACTTACGAATGGAGAACCATGCTCTTCAGCAAACACAAAGTCTTTGGTTTCGGCTGTACGTGTTTTCACAGCATTATCTGGAATCTGTGGAGACACATCCCAAAGACTCCTGGTACCCGCTTCTGCTCCTTCCCCCGTGTATGTGGAAAGCATATGGGAGTAAAAACTTTCTGCTGTAGTCTGTATGACAGGAGTGGTAGCTTCAGATGAAGGTTCTTCTGACAGGCTGGAAGAGTCGTCTTTCAGCTGCTGTTGGGGCACAGTCTCTCTTTCTACAGCTTTGGAGAACAACTTATCTTCTTCATACGGACTCAGCGGTGAGAATTTAGTAAAAGATGAGTCAAGGCAGCTGATTTTCTCAGAAACCTCCAAGTATTCATCTTTCTTCCCCTGGTCTGAGGGCAAAGCACAAGGAACCTTTAAAGGAAGCGAGATATTCCCTAAATGGCTTGCTGAAGTTTGCTCATGTGTGAACATACTGGATGTTTCACTCTTTC